GAGGATTAATTACTTACTGTTGCTACAGTGCTGCGAAGATGCAAGACACTAAGCATTGGCAGGGGCTTTGTGTAGCTGGAAAAAGCAGACAGCACCGCAGCACGAAGAACAAATAACCTACCGTTGTTCCAGCTCCGCTGTCTTCAACAAGGCCCATAGGAAGGTGGGGAATCTTCAGGTTATTGAATTAAGCAGAGGTAGTTTGGCAGAACGGTCTCAGTATGTTGGTTTTGTGTTGTTTTTTTTTCTCCTCCTCAAAGGAGAAAAGAAATTTGTAAAGAAAATTGCTTAAGGTTGCAGTAGTTTGCAGTGTGGCTAGCACAGGGATCTTAGGCGGTGCTGTTAGGGATGACTCCGATGTTAACGGCAGTTTTTAAACGAGTGCAATTAGAAATACCAAATCAAAAGTAAATAAGCTTGGAGCAGCCATTGATTTTTAAAGCAGAGAAGCTTTATATGCTATAGAATACTATACTGTAATACTATGTAATACTAAATTACTGTATAATATTAATATGAATTATGCCAGATCTCACAGAGCCATTAGGGAGACCAGGATGCTTGTTGGTTAAAAAACTTGAATGAAAATTGTACCTTCTCTGTACAGTTTTCTATTCCTCATGTACCAATTGACTACTCCACTTTTTACCACACAGTTAAGCAAAGTTACATGCTGCAACGCTTTTTGCTGCTGGCCCTCCAAAAGCTCCCTCCCCTCCTAAAATTCAGCTGCAGGCTTAGGCACCTACAGCTTTGGCAAAGGAACATCGGGGATGTTGCAGGAAGCAGTGGATTAAGTGTTCTGCAGACAGCTGGCATTAGTATGTGACGTGTAGGCAATCTGAGCGTAGAATAAATGGGTATGTACAGTTCTGTATGTGTTCCATCAGTATGGCATGCAAATGTTTAAATCTACTCTTTATATTTCTGCAGAGACTTGAGATTAATGTCGATAGGAGGTGGTACAGATGAAACCATGCTTTCCATCATATGCAAATACATGGAAACACTTCCAAGCAAGTGACGCATCTCAGCTCTTCTTGAAAACCGAGCAAGAGCATGGCTTGTACCTCACACCGAAGGTAACAGCCAGTGCATGTTTCAAGGGTGTAAAATACGTAGAAGACATAACAGCAACTTTGCCAACAAAATACTTGTCAGGGTCTTTGACCATTATCATTCCACATGTTCTCCAGTATCACGTTTTTGTTGATAAGAAGCAGTCAGAAGGCATGAGCCCTCCTGAAGGATTTTCTTCCATTTTTTTCAGTGAGTTACTACTTTGTGGGGGGTCTAGTGATCCACTCTCAGCACTCAGAACAACTGTTGTTTTTAATCAACGTATTATCTACATTTTAGAGCATCTAAGCTGCCACCAAAGAAACGGACACAGCTCTGATTTCACTAGTAGCTTAATCTAATTTCAGTGTAACTTTGCTTTTAAGAGCAATAATTAAGGTGCAAATTATTCCCTGCTATATTCAAATACTGTAACAATTTTGCTCTCAATTACAAGCATCTTCCCTGTCTTTCACTTTTAGCAAGTAAACATCGAAATGAGTTCTGTTGTCTTTGCCAAGTTCACAGGAACTTGTACTGCTCTGTCATGGATGTTTGGTGGTGGGAGTGGGGCTTGATTTCTAGTTGTAGAATTCTACAAACAACCGTATAATTGTATCTGAAGCTTTTGGAGTCCTGAAATTCAGCAGTGCGGTTTCATGTTTTGTGTGCAATTATTAAAGGAAAATATTAAAAATAAACATATTAATATGAAAACTGTGTGTAATTACTTAAACTGTTCCTAAATCAGGCTTTTAAGCCAGGTGAGACAGCCTCCATGGAATTGTCATGTAATCAAATGGATGTGTTGATTAAGCATTTTCTAAGGCATCTCTATGATACTGTACAGTCAACAGTTTGATAGTTAAAAGACTGTATTTCCTTCCACCTGAAAATAATCTGTATGGTTGCTAGGTAGACTCTAAGTTACATTAAACTAAGAAATGCAATATATAAATATTGCGTAAAAAATCTGTACAAAAGATTTCAAAACCATATTCGAAACTGCAGTATTCTTATGTAGCTATTAACTGCAACTTTAGAAAAATACTAGTAACAGTAATTGTACTTTTGGATTTTATCTACTGTAGAGCGTATTTTATTCTACAAGGTCATACTACAGTATCTGGAAATCTTGCTAGCTATTTTTGAATTTTAAGTTCTGTCAGAGTAATATTTTTGTACCAGAAAATGAACAGTAAGGCAAGCTCAGATGCTGAGGAAAATTCTACGGCTGCAATGCATGGTTTCCTCAAATTGCCACTCCTCTTCCCTGAGTGAAATATTCTCAAAGCAGTTTCACGTTTACATAAAGTTGCCTTAACCATTCAAAGCGAAGTTGTAGGATTCCAGTTCAGATTTTAAACTGAAAATTAACCTTTTACTGGAATTGAGGAAAGGGAAGCATGCTACATCCTGTAAAATAACATAAAAACATACAGAAATATGTCAGTTTTGACTATGTAACTTTGTTACCTTTCAGTTCAGAACATGTTAAAAGAGCGTAATGGAGCTTTGTTTTAGCACTGAATTAAAAAAGCCCTTGTGTGTTCTCTAATAAACATACAGATGCAGAAAGTTTGGAGGCTTCATCTATTCCTTGTCCCTGAGCTTTCTCTCCATTTCCTACCCTATCTAGACAACAACAACAAAATAATGACAACCCTCCTTAAATGATGAAAAACAGAAAGGGAAGACACAGGCTTAAGATTCCCCCCCTCCCCAATTCATTTCCCCTTGCTCTTCTGCACCATTGAAGAATGAGGAAGGTGGGGGAAAAAGAAGATGACCTAGTTCCTACTCTGAATTAATTACCTTTTAATCTCAATTGACATTTAAAATTAAAATCCTGTTGGTTTTATATATGATCTGAAGGACTGGTAAAAGATTTTTACCAATATGTGCTCTGTCAGGACTCGAGACATCCTAGCGTATTCTTCAGAACAAAGCCAGGAACTGCATCAGCCGTACAACTAGCTGTACCCACCCATTTTTCTGCTTTGTATCAGGCAGTTAAAAACTTTCTCCATTTATTGGTATGGTAGATCAGTTGCTAAAGAAAAATAATAATAAATGTCTAGAGATTGTTCAGACACCATCTTTAAGAGCCAGAAATATATTTCCAGAAGATGATCAACTATCAGGGGAGTACGGTTGTCCAACAGATATGTCAGTAATTATCATCTCACTTGTTAGGTACCTTGCACTCCACTGTCTCATTAAAATTACACAAGTGCATCAATTTTGGATGGCAAACTATATCCTATTGACTAGCTTTGGGAACGCTACACTTGTTTAACAAGCCTAGCAATTCTCATATAAAGATGATGCATTATCCTGGTGCTAGCACTTAGATGTTCTGTTATTTGCAGAAGCACTGTAGACCTTTTAACAATGAAAGATTAAATCGGCTAGAAATATTTGAGCTTTAATTACTTTTACACGTTCTGTGTCTTTTGTATTAAATAGGTGATCTACATGTAGCAAACACCTCCCTTTCTCATTTTAAGAGCGCGCTCCGTACAAGTATAGCCCCTTAAATGCAATGCCATTTCCAAAAAATACATTGGTATTCTACAGGAGAAAAGAATGTATATAAACAACACTAGCTAAGAATACTACAGGACACTTTATTTGCCAGTTTGTAATTTGTTATTAATGGCAACATGTTATACAGTATTTCTAGAAAAGCTTTTCAAAAACTGTAGATACAATTTCATTATCTAGGAAACTTAATTTTTGAATGTTAAACTCAGCAATGTAATAGCTTCGACCATTAGAAACTATCTGGTGAGCCAAAGTTGTGTCTTCAAAATAAAAAACCTTAATATGACAGCACCTCCAACAGGTGCATCGTGATATACTTTAATATAAAATTCAAAATATCTGATCTCGTATTTCAGACATCATGCAGTATAGATTCAGGGACCATCACAGACTGGAAAGTAAGCATACTAATAGTAGAAGTTCTAGTGATTCAATGGAATCATTATGGTTTAGATACTTTAAATAAAAGAAAACATTTCTACCGTGTCCATATTGGTTGATCCCAATGACCAAAGGCATTTGCTGAAAACAACAGATGTGTAAGCACGGTTTGTCACATTTAAATGTAAAAAAAACAATCCAATTTTAAGTAACTTCTCCCCAAAACACACAGTTTAAGCTACTTAAACATGTACACTATCAGACCTACCCTCAAAAATAGTTTTTAGCGGTACCACTATTACATTTGTTAGCTTCAGGCCAGCCTTTTAAAAACCCACAGATAAAAACAGTTTAGAAAGACTGAAGTATTCTTCATGCTTTTGCAACCTAGAAATTACTATACGCCTCAAACTGGAGCTCTAATTTAGAGCATGGCCCAGAATGAAAAGCAGAATGAAAGAAAAAGTCTTGTAATTCTGCAATTACTTCATATCCAAACAACTGTTGTTTTCTGTATTTTTTAAAATCAAGTCTGAAAACTATTTTCCACTAAAAAAGCAACCTAATATGCTCACAGTTTCTGCGTATTTACAGATAATGCCCCCAAAACAGGGGATGATGGGAAAGATTCTGATACATTAAGAAAACTATACATAACATTGCATTAATAGTTAATGCAATTTATGACAACTTCGCTGTGTTGTAGCAACAGAATATGTCACTTTAGATCAATGTCTTAATTAATGAAGACTGCTTTATAGTTGAAATTACACAATTTAAACCAAAGGTAACATGCATCACCTCAGTTTAATGATCCAGTATATTACAAAAAAAACAAACAATGCAAAGAGCATCATGTAGCATAACAGCTTTGTCTGGCTTCCTCGGGAGAGCGTTCTCAGTCTGCCCATAGTTGCACCTAGAAGTCCACTCGTAGAGTCAAAATCATTATCCTACATTTAAAACAAACAAAAAACCCAACAAAAAACATGTTACTCTCAGAAAAAAAGATTACCCCTAAAGCTTGCTAAGTGTAGTTTTTCCCTTTTTTTTTTTTTTTTTTTCAAATTTTCCAAAACTATTTCAGAGGCAGTTTGTGAAAATTAACCAGGAAAAACTTTTGCCCATTTATCCAGAGATTTTTTTTTTCCTAAAGCCAAAGCAAAACAAAAGCAAAAAAGGCATTTCTGACTTCTTTATTTTTTGCTTTCCTCTTCTATTTTTAAATACAATTAAATATAGAACTGCCTTTTTAATAATACTTTTTGCTAATTGAAAACAAATAGTCATATCTGAAGTATAAACCCTTGGTTGTGCCTTGGAAGTAATGCATTTGCACATCTATCTTTTAGAACAGAAATATTGCTGCTGAATTAGTCACATTTTACAGTCAACAATAAGCTGTCAACATTTTAATACAAATGTTCATTCTAAAAGAAGGAATGCTTTACATTACTAACTTCTTAATCCTACACCATATTTAAAGTTAGTGACTAGATACGTACCATTTCGGATAACATTTTATTTTGGTTTTTAACTTCTGTTCCTATTTCAATGGAAAGCTATTTAAAAAAAAAAAAAAGTATTAAACACAAGTAATCAGTTATACACGGATTAGAGAAACCGGTTTAAAATACGTGACATGACTAGCATTTCTCCAGGTAAAACGTGAAAACAGAACCTGGTGTTTTCAAAAAAACAAAATAACATGCACAGTATTCTGTCAATAACCCTTAGGAAAGTAAATATTTGTCATTTGACTAGATGAGTCTAGAGAGCCACAGAAGGTACTCAATGCTCCTCTTCCCCTTTTCTCCTTCAACAGAGAATTCCTCATTAAAATTATTGCATGGACTTTGAAAAATTCAAGATCTAATCAAGTGTAAGTAGCAATTTTCCATTTGCTGGAACAACTGTTAAAACTACTGGCACGCAGCACAGAGGATCATGAGCACTCTTTTTGACTCAGCGTTGCTGGAGTTGACACCTGTAACCTGCTAAGACATCTCTTTTGACACGTTGCTGCTATGCTCTAAATGGTATTTTCTTTTGTGAAGTTGCCTATTCCTTCTCTGCTTGGTGTCACGAAAGAGCAA